GCATCATGCGTTGGTTTACGAACTGCTGCTCATAGTTAATGTTGGCATTGTGCTTATTTTAACTGTTTGGTATTGAGTCGGATCATAAGTGGTCTCTAACTTATCGAAATCATCAGCATTTTATACTCCTTAACCTTTATTATCTCTTGCTCCCGCCATTTATATATTTTAAAAATACAAGAATTGTATTTATTTTAAACGGCAAATTTATAACAAAAATATTAATAATAATAAATAAATAAACAAATATATATATATATATATATATATATATATATATATATATATATATATATATATATATATATATATATATATATATATATATATATATATATATATATATACAGTTATTAAACTCATGCGTTAAAGAGTTGATAAATTGAAATAAATATATTTTGCTGACTTAATCAAAACATTCAATGTATGAAGACATTCAATGACAGAGATATCGCTTCCAAATGAAAATCTTTAAAAGATATGTACAAATATAAATAGATCGAATATTTGTATGGTTATTAACTTTAAAAAAAAAAAAAGGTTTAATAGTTTGAAATTTTAACGAATAAAAAAAAACTTACAATTTTATAGTTGCGTCTACTCCAAGTGATTCTATTAGTAAAATAATTATCAGATAAGGTTTAAAACATTAAATAAGGATAAGGTTTAATTAAATATTATTTAATTAAATATTTAAAACATTAAGCTTCTCATTAGGATCTACTTGCGTACAGTAAAAACTGATTATAAAATTAATTAACTAATAGAACATTAATAATGTCAAATTTACCTCTTAACGTCTTGAACTGGATTGCCAGTATCCTCCTCAATATATCGGGATCTTAATGCCATTTTATAGCAGCTGCTTATTTTAGGAGACATCTTAATTTTAATTTACTTTAAATTTAATTATCTTTTTTTTTTTTTTGATTTGGAAAAATATAAATACAATAAAAACATTTAGATATTCATTTAAAAGCTCTAAGGTTCGAATTATTCTCCGAGAGAATAACTGTGATGCTTTCTTTAATGATTTACAATAATTATTGTCCAAAAGAAATTGTTGTGTAGCAATCATAACATTCAAGAAAGCCATAATTTTTAACAGTAACTCTCTGAAAACCCTGGAAAATTGAAACATTTCTTTCAGTAGATGATTAGAATGCGGTGTTGTCGAAGACTGGAATAAAGTTCAATAACTTATAAAAGCGTTAGTTCCAAACATAAATCACTGCTAAAAATCAGATAAAATAATAAATTGTGGCTCAGAATCCCCTATTTTACGCTCAAGTAATGGTGGTAAATTTGCTATTTCGAATACTGAAAAATAAAATAAATATCTTCTAGTCTTCGACACCCATTCCACCCCTACTCCATTTTTAGTGTTTTGATTTTAAAGACTTGTACATTCATCTCATCTGTTTCCGTGTCAGCATGAAAAAGAAAAAAATTTTAAGTTTATTACATTTGTCATGATTTCTTGTGGTTATCTAAAAACAGTTATGAAAATTAATCCTAAAAGTTTAGGGTATTTACAGAATTTTTTTAGCTTCAAATCATCGTATGTGTTTATTTATATGTTTACGACATTTAAACTTCCTTCATATATATAGAAAAGATAGGTAATCATTTCAGACACAATTTCGTCACTTTACTTGAGTTGAGTGTTTTTTTTTAGTGACAAAATGTCACTCGTCGACGGCCTCTCTTTGATTTTTCAAAGTCAGCTAATTTCGAAAGTCAAAATTAGTCGACTTTGAAAAATCAAATAGACGATTTAAACGACTATGGACGTCTTACTGATTGTCTAAAAGTTGATTTAGTCGAGTAATAATCTTAAAATCCTTTTGTCTTTTTATTCGATTTTATTTTTTAAATTTAAATTTTTGTTTGATCATTTAATAACAGTAATATGAACTATTATAACTATTACATACTGTTTTTTATTTACTCTCTTAAAGTTTTATGCTATAATAATTCATAACATGTTAGCAATATATACCTAATTAAACTTTCGGTTTTAACCGAAAGTCATTAAGTAAACAAAAATCATTAAGTATAAACTTATAAACTTAAATAACTTAAACTTATAACTTAAATTAAGTAAAAAAAAAGTAAACGGAAATCATTAAGTAAACAAAATTAATGAAGTATATATATAAATGTTTTATTAATTTTTTTTTATTTAATGATTGTGATTTTCATAAATACTCTCATACAGGGCCGTTCTAAGCTGATTCGGGACCTAGGACAAACTCTGCTCCTACCTAAAATAATGTTTTCAAAAATGTTGGCAAGTAAAATTTTAAATAGTCACCGGTTTAAACGAAAATAGTTTATCAAATGTAAAAATACAGAATTAATTTCTAAATGCAAATATGAAATAAGTAAAAAATTATCAAAACAAATAACTTAACTAAAGTTATCCATATTCTAAAGAATTTTTATCACAATTAATTTTTACAGAAATACTTTAGTTAATGTTACTTCCTGTTTACAAAAAATTAAAAATTAAAAAAAATATTTTTAATGCTGGGCGCGGTTAAGATGCGGCCTCGGCGCAGTGGTTAGAGCACTTGCTTTAGAAACAGGAGATAAAGGTTTGAAACGAGCTCTGGATATATTTTCGCGTCACGGTAAGGAAGGAGACGTGAACTTCCTGGTTAAATGCACTTCCGCGGTGCTCTGTGACAAGACCGTTAGGTCTTCTTGTGGCACCTAAATTAACAAAAAAAAAAAAGAAAAAAAGATGAAACTTAAAATGATATCTCAAAAACATGCTTGTGTCTGCTTAGTCAAGCAAATACTGTTTAACTATAATTTTTAAATTTTTTGAGGTTTTTTAAACATATCATATTTTCCTCAAGAACTATGTTCCAAAGAGGTCTACTATATAAAATTAAATAATCTGGAATTGACTTAGATAGGGTAAAATTGTTTTTCAAATAAGACAGGTACAAGAAGAACCATAAAAAATAGATAATACCATGACTAAGTCCAAGATTACTTAGTCTATAAGTTCTATCAATTAAATAATTAATGAGAATTGTTCAGATTATCTATAAAAATTGAAAAATTAAAAACAATTAAAGTAGATAATATGCAAATTGAAGTTTGCGTAAATGTCATCTACATAAAGTTGATAAAAAGCTGGTTTTTTCAATTAACGATTTTCTTTATTTGTTCTAAAAAATTAAATAGATTGGCAAAAATAGGTGCTAACTGTAGTAACGTTTTTTTTTTTAAACCTAATTACAAATTTTTAATTACTTAATTTACCAAAATTAAATAATTAAAATTGGCTTTAATATTTAAAATGCAATTGATAACAATACTGACTGTTTTATGTAGATACATAAACTCGTGATACAACGAGATACTAAGTTTTTGATTCATCTAATATATTGTTTGAATCTTTTTAATTAAACAGTTTAAAAAAAAATAAAATGATTCGCATTTTGTATGCAATGCATTCAAACTAAGGAACACATTTAAGCTTTAATATTTGTAATATTTGCATTCATACATTTTAAAACAAAAATAACTAAAAAATTAATATTAATTTTGTGTATTAAAATACAAGATTTTTTTTACATAAAATCATATTTACTACTTATAAAATGCAAAAACAATTATTGTTTTGAAGATCCACTTTCTAATCTACCTAAACCTCATGTAGTTTACAAGTTTTCTTGCGCTGGCTGTAACGCCAGTTAAATTGGAAAAACCTCCAGACATTTAACAATGTAATTATTAAATTTAAATAATATAAATAAACTGTTATTTTAATCTCTGTAGAATGTAACAAATGGGATTCTCCCATTCATTACATTCTAATTGTTGAAACCCCTTTTTTACTTTTAATTAATGTAGCGGTATCCAAAATCTTTAATGAAATTCAATTTTTATTAGTCCTAAGGTGCTCATTAATTCTAGAGCATTAATGAGCACCTTAGGACTATTAAAAAATCCCATACAAAACATTTAATTGTATTCGTTTAATTGTAAAAAGCTGTTTAACTGTAACTCATTTAAGACTTTGGATACTGCTTCAACTAAATATAAATTAAAAGTAGTTAAAAACAATGAGTGTTAAAAAACCTTATTTATTTTATTCTACAGAAATGACAGTTTATTTTAATTTGATTATATTGATTGGTTATTTACTGAGCCATTTTGTAATCATTTTTATTGGTTTATTATGTATATTTTTCCGTTTATAATCTCTGTCTTCTCTTTTTAAATATTTATTGCAGAGTTTTACCGTAAAATTATCTTTTCAATATGTAATAATTATATTTTTAAATTTCTGATAAACAAACCTTGTATCTTGTATGACATACTATAACATTCAATTGTATAGAAAAAACGTTATCAAGCATAAAAAAAAAACTATTAGTAGAAAAAATGCAATATATCAAAATTGGCGTAAAGGAAAAGCAAAGGCTCTCCGTCCTCCAAAAATATAACAAATATTTTTCGAGGAGTACATACATTTTTGAATAAAAATAACTAAAAAACTAATTATAACTTTGTATATCAAAAGCGATTACTCAAGTATAGATGTTTTTAGATTCTAAACTTAAAAAAAAAATGTTATGGGTAACAATATAAAGTATGCACGAAAAACCGATAAAACGTCTTTATTCTGCCGAATGATAAAAATCAATATATAATTGCAAATGAATTAATTTTAATTTTATGTTAAAACTTCAATAACATCTTTTTCCTGCTCAAACATAAAAATCAATATATAATTATAAGTGAATTGTACCTTACTTTTTTATCATAGTTATTTTTGTATTTTGTACACCTACATATTTATAGTTGATAATGGCATTACATTTGAGGAAAGCAACTTATTCTACTCAAATTTTAACATAATTTAATGTTATTTAAATTTACTTGATATAAAATATAATTATTAACTTTATAATGTTGCTCTATTATAACGCAACGTAAATTTGTAATATGTGAAATTATGTTTTTCTTTTAGTATCACGCATAAATCCTAATTTAAAAATGAAAGTAATTATATTTTTGGTGTTATTTTCATTACTTAAAGATGCAGAATTGGTAAGTTAGTTTTATACCATACCACGGGGAGTCTTTGACGTGAAGGGGTATATAGAGATCGACTCAAAAATGTAATTTATTTATTTTCTATGAAATCTTATTTTCCTATCTCATTAATATCCGTTTATTGTAGATATTGGAAAATAAGATTTGATAGAAAATAAATGAACTAGATTTTAATTGTATAAAATGTTTATTTAATGAAAAATGTGTATTTGTAGGGAAAAGTGGGGAAAATTGGGACACGTAATTTTTTTTTAGGGTAATTGCAATATCTTTTTTATTTGATGTATAAACTAAACAAAAAAAGTTTTTACGAATAATCTTTTTATTAGACACCGATTCAATCTCCTTAGGTTTCCAGCCAATTATAATTAAGTATATAAATTTTTGATTTTAGAGAAACCGTCTAAAATTGGGGTAAAGTGGAATAAGTGTGAGTAGAAGCAGGACAAACAAATTTAAAATAACATTTTAACACAATTATTAAATAGAAACTGATAAAATCATAAAATCACGTGATCGACATAAAAATGTTCAAGAGCTTTCACCAATCGAAATAATTTAATAGCGACAAGAAGCATCGGGGCATAAATATTTTTTTTCTGTCCCACTTCACCTAATATGTAAACACTTTTTAAAAGTATATTTTAATATTTAGGGCTTCTAGTGCACGCAGGGAAACAAAACATGTTTCTGCTAAATAGAGGGGAAGAAATTTAATTGTTTACATTAAATAACAGGATTTAGGGACCACTATTACTTAGAAATTTCAGGCTGTTCCACTTCTCCCGCGTCCCACTTCTTCCCACTCTCCCCTACTAATGCGGTATGGTGTAGTTATGCTGCAGCAGCCCTGTTTTATAATCTTATTCGTATTGTTTTAATAAAAACGAATATCATTTAAAAAAAATTTATAATACAAATAAAAAAATTATTGAAGAAGATTTTTAAATAATATATTTTATTTAAATATAATCTATATAACGCTATATTGTTTGTTAATCTCTTTTTAAACTGCTAAACTGTTTTTCCCATTATTCTTATTAATTAGATTTTTGGAGTAAACAACGATTAAATGCAAAGTTTTGTTGCACTTTTTAAGTTATTTACTACTTTTTCTTAATAAAAAGACTTATTTGTAATATCAAATTGATTATACTTTTTTAATGAAATGTTTTGCTTCATCCATCTTATCATCCATCCATCATCTAGTCTGCATTATTAAATATTATTAAAAACAAAAAACTTCGCGCTTACATAAATTTGTGCGTAAACATAAATGTCCAAAATGTATTATTATATTCCAAATTACTAAAATTTGGTTTTTTTTTTGAATTTTACATTTATTATATTATTTTTGTATTCAGAAATAATAGTTTACCTTTTCGTTTTAATTATTAGAAAATAATTATATTTTAATCAGTTTATTTTGTAATATTTTAAAAGCTACTAATTGTTTCAAAATGAAAAAAATTAAATGGTAGTAGAGCAAATAAAAGATGTTAAAACAATTTATAACACCATTATGTTAAACCACAAAAGTTAACAGTAACATGTTAAATATCAAAATCAGGTTAAATTAAGCTTTTGGTCAGGTTAAACTCAATGCTGTTCATAGTATTAACGTACCAATAATCAAAAAATTTCCACTAATTAAATTGTTAATTCAGGTATAAATGTAATATGTATTAATATAGTAAAATTTACAAATATGTCTGTATAGATGTAACCATATTATATATTATCATGGCAACAGTGTTTCATGACGAGTAAAAGATTTAGAGATTAAAAAATATGGGCAACTTGAAGACTTAACAAAAAGGCCAGGTGAATAAAAAAAAGCAATTGCTTTTAATCAGTAATTGGTCAGCTTTACATAAATGAAAATTTCAGCAATTTTGCTCAAACTATTATTCATGTGAAGCTAAACAATTACTACGTTTTTGGAGTAAATTGTTCAGCTTTACGTGAATAAAAAATTAAGCGAGTTTGCTAAAAAATTTTATTCACGTAAAACTGAACAATTACTCCAAAAACGCTGAGTAAAAGCAACTGCTTTTTGTTATTCACCCGGCCCATTTATTAAGTCCTCAAGCCTAATATATTGTCATTTATAAACATATCAAAAATATAGCAATAACTAATAGCAGTAAATATCAGAAAATAATTTCATTTAATAATATAATTGAAAAAAAACATAGAAGCAATGATGGACTCTTGTAGCATCTTAGTAATCACTGGAAATGAAAAAATAGTCCATCTTATCAAGTGTATCAGACTGTTGATTACCGGAGAGTAAATTGTCTGACTCAAAATAAAATATTAGAAGTTTTTTAATTAAAGACTACTTCAGTGTGAGCGATATTTAGAAGGATCTGAGCAATCTCTAGAGTTTTTAAAACTGACATCATACATGGCGTTTTCCAGAGTTACCATAGCACATGGTTGCCATAGATGGCATTTTCCAGTAGGCAGAAAAAGAAGATTCGCTGTTTCATAAATTATGCAAACATATTATGGGCAAGTGCGCAACCAACAAAACTCCAAAAAAATTGTAGGTTACAAAAACACGCTTGCTGAATCATATACTTTAAACACAAACAAGAACATGCAAAATCACTTATGAAAGATATGAAAATGATGGATATATTTGAAATAAATACCTTTCAGCATCTAATTTTTATGTATAGATATTACAACAACCTCTTACCAGAAAACTTTAACAACAAGTTTAAAAAAAATCTAAATGAAAATTATAATCTATAAGTCAAATGTAAACGACATTTATAAATTGCCTCGAAAATGTAATAAATTCTCAGAATATTTTATAACCCAAGTTATGGAATAACTTTCAAAAGAAATATAAATTAATAGAGAAGTCCTTATGTTCGTTTAAGTTCCAAACAAAAAAAAAATTTTCAAAATGTGATTATAAGAATAAAAGATATAAGAAAAACTTACATTTTTAGTAGTTTTTTTTTGACTATTTTAACGGTTAATTTTTCTTACTATATTTTTTGTTTTCTGTTTGTTTATTTTTTATTTAATTGTTTTGACTATTTCAACGGTAACTTTATACCAAACGATTAAGTATTTAAATCTTTATAACGAGGCTCTATGAAAAGATTGTGATGTAATGTTTTCCGTTTCTTGTTTCCCGTATCTTCTCTGCTTTAACTTTATTTTATTTATTATATAATTTTCAGTATTTATTTATGTATTCTCTTCTATTGTATATATATTTAAATGTACATTGTAAAAATAATATTTATACCATGTTAAACAGAAAAGAAAAAAAAAAAAGATTAACTTTTAAGCATTTGTCAAATAATTTACAGAATAATAAAAAAAGTTCTAGATAACACTTTTATCTGACTGTGAAATGAATGTTGTCTGGACCAGAAGTAAGCACAAGCTGTAAAAGAGTTAAAAGTTTAAAAGGAGAGTTAAAAGCTTAGCATAACTTTAGGAACAGATGCAAAAGTGATTTAGATTTTGAACAATGAGTTAACCTGTTATTAACTTGTTATGTACAAGAAGAGTGTTGTCATTAGATTCAAAAGAAAAGAATTATAAGAAACATTCTTTACAAACTTCATAGTTGTCTAATAAATTAATATGCCTATCCTAAAGAGCTAATAAAATCAACCCCAGATACAAGATACATGTTAGACTTGTTTTTGTAAATGATATAGATAAAGATTTTCCAAAAGTCTCTAGAATTTAACTTTTAAAATAAAATACGAGATTTTGTAATTTGAGAATAATGAACCTTAGCGTAAGACATTGCTTTTTTGTAATAATAAAAAACATATTTCCAGAGAGTTGTACTTTCAAAAAAGATAAAAAACTATTAAAATTAGAGTTAGCAGCCGCCCTAACAAAAGAAACCAAAAGGTAGAGTAAAGCTTGATTTGAAACCAAGAAGAAAGTCTAAAAACTTCTATGTCAGTCTGAATTCAAGAGGTTCATTGGCGTAGTATTTTACTTTTCGCGGATGGGGGTCAAACTATTTGTGGGAGTTTAAAACTTATTATAAGATATAACAAACCTTTTTAGGCATAAAAGAACGTAATTTATTTTCTCAAGTTAAATGTATTCATAAAATCTTCCACACATCAAAAAAAGTACTTCAATTTTATTAAAAAACAGTTTGAATGATTTCTTGGAAAGTTTTGAAAAAAGAGCATGATGAGCATTTTTTTACAGCAGCCGCGGCGCACACCAGCGGCGCAGTGATTAGAGTTTCAAAATCAAATGCTCGAAGTTCAAAGCTCCAAGGGAGTGCTGCTACATCAACTATCTTATAGCCTGCTGCTACAAGGAAGTGCCGCTACATCGACCGACGGTTCGGTTTTGGCAAGCAACCTATCATTTAGGAAGGAAAAAAAAAATTTTCTGGTTTAAAAACATTCAATTTAAAACAACAGTTTATGGAAGAAACTTTTTGACTACCATGCAGGGCATCTCAATTTTATCTGTTGAAGAATTAACTAATTTTCATAATTGTTTACTAAAATAAAAAAAAAGGAGACAAGTATTAGTTTTTAAGTTCATTTTAAGTCACGAGAAAATAGTAGCTTATACATGGCGTTTGTTGCATCTTTTTAAATTTTTTCTTAAAAACCCTAGTGCATAGCTAAAACGCCAGAGTAGAAAAAGAAACACGAAACTAAGATAAGATGAACTTAAATAAAACATTTTTTTTCTCTTTAACATCAGCTATTACATTCATTATTCTAGTGCAAACAAATCTGCTACGTTACTAAAAACAATGATTGAAAAAAAAAAGAAATGTTAAAATTTTTGTTAAAAACTTTTTTGGGCAAACCAACAATAATATTTTGATATAAAATGATTTTTTTTTTTATAATTTGTATATAGCTTTGTTTTTTTTAAGACTCAGGTTTGCATAATTTAAAAGTTTTTTATGCAATAACGAGATATTTCAAACGTTCAAAGATTTTAAGCAACCTCTTCAATAATTTTTAGATGCA